GGCTGGCTGAAGTGGATATCTCCTTTCGCCCAGTTCAGTTGGGCTATGGTAATACTCCAGCATGTTAGGCTCTGGTTAACTGGTTTCTTCTGAGGCAGGTCGATTAAGATCAGAGTGATCTGAAGTGTTTAAAAATGTTTTCTTTTCCTTTCCCCTTGTTGAAAGAAGCACAAGGGGATTTTTCTCAGATATTTGCTATGGAAACCAGGTCAAGCTCCTGCAGGTAAATCGCACAATATTGAGCCCCACCCCGATCTTGGGAGCAGTAGTTTGTCCTGAGTCTTCCCATCTCTTCTGGATCCAAAATAGTTCAACAAGACCTGTATACTAAAATCTATACACCATTACGGTGAACTCAATAATGCATACATTCCCAATCAAAATCCCCACAGGCCTTTATATATAAATTGCAAGGTGATTATAAAAATTAAATTGAAAATGCAAAAGAACTAAAATAAACAAAAAAAATGTATAGAAAGACCAAATTTGGAGGCCTTACACTGATTTTAAGAATTTTAAATTATAATATTCAAAACAGTGGGCTATTGATATAGTATAGACAGGTGGTCGGCAAACTCATTAGTCAGCAGAGCCAAATATCAACAGTACAACGATTGAAATTTCTTTTGAGAGCCAAATTTTTAAACTTAAACTATATAGGTAGGTACATTGTTATTAACTTAACTAGGGTACTCCTAAACTGGCCTTTGCTAAAAACGTCCTCAGTCTGATTGAGGTACATTCGCTGAGGTTGACCCCTTCCAACTCTCCCATCCACACTTGTCTTGTATACTTGTTTCAGATAGACGAGTGTGGATGGGAGAGTTGGAAGGGGTCGACCTCAGCGAATGTACCTCAAAACAATGTACCTCCCCCGTGCTGCGTATCCCGCGGCCCTCCTGCGCCACATCTCCCATTGCACAACTGACCGACACCCCCCACTTCTTCTAAGGCCACTTCTTCAAAATAGACTCGCCCAGGCCGAAAACCGACTTCTGCGCATGGGCCACGAAGTTTCAATCGCACTGTACATGCGGGCGCGCATGTGGTATTTTGTGGAAGAGCCACACTCAAGGGGCCAAAGAGCCACATGTGGCTCGTGAGCCGCGGTTTGCCGACCACTGGTATAGACAAATAGATGGATATAAGAAAGTCCGAAAATAGACCCATGCATATGTAGACAACTGGTTTTCAACAAAGGCACGAAGACAATTCAGTGAAGAAAGGATAGGCTTTCAACAAATGGTGCTGGAGCAACTGGTTATTCATAAGTAAGACAAGAACTTTCTGTTCATACATAGTAACATATGCCGAACTTGATTCACAAAGGACCATAAACCTAAATGTAGATCTCACTCATATGTGGATTCTAATGAACAAAATAAACTAACAAAATAGAACCAGAGGCATGGATACATGGAACAGACTAACAGATGGCACAGGAGAAGGGTTGTGGGAGCTGGATGAAAGAAGGTGAGATTAGCCAAAGGACATGTATGCGTAGCCCACAGACATAGACAACAGTGTGGTGAAGCTAGAGTGGAGAGGGGTGGGGACAGGGTAGAGGTGGGCAAAGGGGTAGAAATGGGGGACATCTGTAATAGCGTCAACAATTTAAAAAATAACTTATCAAAAACATTTCTAAATGGAAACCTATGAGAAAATCTTATTGACCTTGTTAGGCCCAATCTATATATATATAACAAAAACCTTCATAAATCAATTTAATCAAAATTAAAAACATTTTACTTTTTTCACATTTATTTAATCTTGCCATTGTTTGAAATCATTTTATCAAATAATATTTATTTCAAATATATTTTAAGGATATTTTGATTATCTTAAATAAGTATTAAGTAATGTATTTCACTATAGAGCCTTCAGGAACTTGATTATAAATAATAGAAACAAGAACAATAATGGAGAAGAGATTCCATGCATATGTGAAGTGCCAATTATTTAACTAACAACTTTTATTAATACAATTCCCAACTACTAATTCCCAAAATATCGGGCTTAAGCTTCTAAAATAATAGGAAATGTTATAATTGTACTGGAAATGATCACAGGTATAATAGTTTCTAGCAAATATTTTAAAATATAAAGTAAGAGATGAAATAAAGATGACTTTTGCTTCAACAACTTTTAAAGTTTACAAAGGAGAAGTTACCGTAAATTATGCAAACTCTCCTCTATCTCTTAGGGAACAGTATACGTTTATAGAAAATAAGATCTAACATGTCCTGAAAAGGCATGTTAAAAGACAAACATAATTTTGGTAAATGTTCCTATTACTTAGAATCCAATCAATTTGAATTTCTTTAGAGTCAGTGCTTCCTGATATAAAACTGTTTTATGCATCAGAAAATTTCTATGCCCCGAGTAGGGCATTACAGGATGTGTTTTAATACAGTTTACATCTGTCATGTTGTAATCTCCACATGCTGTGGAGAGCTCCACTGCCTTTTAATGCACTCAAGAGAAATACTGCTTTACCATGAATCTTATTTCTAAGCATGTTTGCATTAACCTCTAAATCTTCTTAATAATAAAACAATAGAAGTAAACAGATTGCTTACAAATTATTGTGGATCAAAGCATAAATGTCAATGCTGGAACACTGAGAACACATTGTTATATTAGAGAAGCAGAATGAAATCCTTTTGGTCCCCAAACCACTTTATATAGCATATTTTATTCTATCCTGAAATAGAATTCATGACAAACAGAAAACAAAACAACAAATTGAAAATTTTAAAATAAAAAGTAATATTCAAATAATAATATAAATGAAGAATAAAATTAAATAATTAGAATTTTAAAATATGTATTTCAAGTCATAAATGTTGAGACATAACTACATAGAGGAAGTATAGTACTTGGATGTTTGAATCAACTTATCATTCATTCATTCATTCATTCGATTTATTGATAAGGTACTAGGCACAATATTCTGTTCTAGGCACAGTGAAAAGAGTAGCAAAGAAAAGCGTCAATTCCCTTCCTTCCTTTGGTTATAGCAGGAAGACAGTATCTACACTAATAAAAGACAAATATGCTAATTGACTGTACTTTCGCTACGCTCATCAGCCAATCAGAATATGTGTGCAAATTAACGCAACAAAGATGGCCATTAAATTTGCATACTGCAGGCAGATCCCGCTGTGCTGCCCTGACCAGAGCTGGCGGCAGCGCGATCCCGAGCCGCCGCCCGCCCCAGCACAGGATCCTGGCCTGTGGTGTGCGTCCCAGGGCGGTGGGTGGGCGGCAGCACGATCTCCAGCCTCTGCCTGCCCCAACGCGGGATCCCGGCCTGCCGTGTGCGGGCAGGGTGGACGGCAGCGAGATCCCGAGCCGCGCCCGCCCTAGCGCGGCCCAGGCCTGCCATGTGTGGCCAGGGGCGGGGAGGAGAAAGGGGCAGGCGCCAGCATGATCCGAGTCGCTGCCCGACCTAGCGCGAGATCCGGGCCCTGCCATCTGCAACCGGGGGAGATGGGGCAGGCACCGCGGGATCGGGCGTGCCATCTGCCACCAGGGGAGCAGGCCTAAGCCAGCAGATGGTTATCTCCGAGGGGTCCAGACTGTGAGAGGGCACAGGTTGGGCTGAGGGACCCCACCCGCCACCAGTGCACAAATTTTTGTGCACTTGGCTTCTAGTATATACATAATAAGTAAATAAAGCACATGTAATATATTGGTATATATGACATGTCAGTGGTGGTTTAAGAAATTTCTTCAGAAAACAATTGTTCTACTGAAGTTGATATCTACAGAAAAAAAGCATTATAGGAAGAGGGAACAAGAGGAAAGGTCCTGGTTGAGGAGAGCATCATATGATATGAGTTTCAAGGTGAAGTGAAAAGAACATTGTGGCTGGAAAGGCCAAATTTGGGGAACTAGTGCAGGGGATTAGAGTAGAACATGAGGTCAGAGAAGTGACCAGAAGTCACAAAACAAAGTACAGAATTGTAGGTCCTTGTCAGATGTTGGGTTTTAATCAAAGTGAGATGAAAAGCCATTGGAGTATTTTGTGCAGAGATGTGACTTGGCTGGACTGACATTGTAACAGGAGTACTGGGATTTTTAGTTGAGAAAATAAATGCAGGAAGGGAGGTGGAGAGCAGTCAGGGGCATCATGGAGTTGGAGACCTGCAGAGTGGCAGTGGGTGTGGTTAGAAGTGGACAAGATTTCCAAACATAGCAACATGATTAAATTCTTCCAGACAATAGTGTTCATTATTTTACAAACTGATTTGCTGTAGTAGTGATTTTTTTTTTCTATTTTAGTTAACGCTAGGTGTTCCACAGACCAATCTATGGGGAGCAGAGGAGAGGTCTTCAGCCGAAGGCACTCCTACTTTGTTTTTGTTTACTTTACTTTAACTTTGGAGCAGGATTAAATTAAAGAAAAGGGTGACGCTGTTTAAAAACCATTTACATACCATTGCATTGCAGAACAGTTGCATGCTTCTCTACTGTTATATTATATATCACCATTTTGTTTTAAATGTTTAAATTATATGAATTTACTCTGGAAATATTGACATGCAAAATTAACTATCTCTCTACTCTATATAGAGAATATAATTCCTGAAACAGTTAAAGCGCCAAAACAGAAAAAGCCATAAAAGCTTAATGTGCCCCATCTATAGAATGTGTTTTGAAAGAAATCACTTACTATTTTATTTTCTTTAAATTGTAGACATGTTTACTAGACAAGCAGTGTTTCTCAAATTAATCATTCTTTTATGTAAAAAAGGGAAATAAATATTTTGGTTGCTATTATCCATTAATCTTTGTCACATTAAGTTTAAACTGACAGGTAACATTCATAATATTGTCAACTGACTTTTTTGTTTGTTTGTTTATTTGAAGCATTTGGAAACATGTACAAAACATTGATGAAATGTTGGAAACCAGTTGAAACACAGTAAAATTCAACCCAATAAAGTAAGACTGCTTTTTCTTCATCCACACTGGGAATTTTCAAGAAGTGAACTATGACAATAGATCGATTTTTGCTACTGTTTCTCCTCTGGGTATGCTTGCCACACTTCTGCTCTCCAGAGATAATGTTCAGAAGGACTCCTGTGCCTCAGCAACGAATTTTAGGTCCACGCATACCTAGAAGTGATGGCAAAATTCTGCATCGTCAAAAACGTGGTTGGATGTGGAATCAGTTTTTCTTACTGGAAGAATATACAGGATCTGATTATCAATATGTGGGAAAGGTAAGTTTTTATTGAAATCTCAAATATTTACATTCTTTCCTTATGTGTCTTATTAAAGAAAATTTGAAGGTCATCAAGAGCATCAGTCTTATAAATTTGATTCTCTAAATATTTGTAAAGCAAAATTAGTTTATAGGATATAAATTGTAATTTAAAATACTATGGAAAGAATGAATATAACATGATAAAGGAATTCATTTCCTAGAAATCTGTCCACTAACTTATGGATTAAAGCAGTACTAAAAATTGCAATTTTAGAATTCGTAGCTAGAAATCAATAAGTGACAAAACTGTGTCAGTATAGTCATTAAAGTGACAGTGCATATAAATAATATAAAAAATATATAGCTTGTATTCCTGTTGAATTCAGTAAGGAAGAAAGGACACGTTTAAAAGTTGATTAACATTCTACAGAATGAGAAAGCAACTGTCATTAAAAATATAACCTAAGGCCATAAAATTTCATATTTATAAGAAAACTTATTTCAGATATGTGCTATTTATTTTTCTTAAGTCTCAAAATAGATACAATTCTATAAATGAAAATAAATAGGAAGGGGCAATACTAGTTTAGTTATTGCAATATGTTGTAGACAAAAACGAATTGTCATTCTGTTTAATTAAAAAAGTTAGCAAGGAAAATTAGATGTGGTTGGGAATGGAATGAGAAATGTGACATACAAGCACTGCAATAATAACTGCTTTTATACACTAGATTGTATTAATTTCCAATCTTTTTCTTGGAACTATCTAAATCTAATCAAAGTTAGATAATGTCTTCAGAAAGAATTCACTTTAATAGTTAGGGTTATTATTTTTTGGACAGTCTATGAAAATATGTCTAAGAAAAATAAGAAGTTAAACACACCAACAAAAGGAAAACAGATATAATCACATGTTAATACATCACATGTAAACACTATAAAATTATGATAGATACATGTGTTGGTGACTTTTGCATTAACCCAAACATTAATAGCTTCATTCAAATAATTAAAAGTGAACTAAAAGTTTTTGTAGTAAGAAAAACTATTTTTAGAGGATACATGTTCATTGATTTTAAAACATTTTGATACATTTTTTTCATGTTTCAATTATTTTAGTCTTTTTTTAAGTGTCTGGCAATATGGGGATGATGATATTAAAGGTTAAGTGTCATATTGAGTATTAGGAGGAATAAAAGAAACAGCGACCTACGCAATATTACCAGAAATCATATAGAAGTGACTTGTCACAGTCTTCATCTGGTTGAATGCCCAAGATCAGAGGGCTAAGGTAAAGTTTAGGATTGCTGCAATAGGCAAGTTTTAGTTTATGAAACTAACCATATTAAAATATAATAGAAACCCGAACCATATAAACTATAAATAGTTTTCTTTGATTCTTTCTAGGCATAGCAGTTATTTGCTTATTCACATCTATTTTTCTTCATCTAGTCCTTAATGAGGAATTAATAAATGTTGATAAATTGAATTATACTTATCTTATGCACTCTCATGATATTCAAGCTACTTCATATGTAGTTTTATTTATTCTTTCCCCAAAGAATATGAACACAATGAAATCAAGAACTTTCTATTGCTCTTTGTTTCCAGCTGTTATAGTAGAGCTTATTATTAATTGATTGAATTGACCTGATTTCTATTGAATTAAATTCCCAGAGTCATCTGATTCCACTTGGCTCTTGGTAGGGAAAACAAATCTAGAATTTTACATCACTATGTGCAATTAAAGCTGGTGTATACTTCAGATTTTTCCATTTTGATATCTTCTGTTCTCTGCTTTATAAAAGCAAATCAGAAAACTCTTTAATGACAATAGAGCTAAGGAATTCATGAAATGTGTTTGCCAGTTCTTTTCTATACAGTATATGCAGAACTACTAGATTAACAGAAATATTAGATGTTGTAGCTCTGAGTTTGCCTCTAATGTACATAGTGTCATTTTTAATCCCTTTTGTCTTTTATGTCATGACCTTTGAAATAGCTATTTAAAAATTTTCTTATCTATACTGTAATATATACATATATTAACTACTTATTAATTATTTATATAGCATTAATAACTTACACAATTAAAATTTTATTTTAGATGTAAACATAAATTTATATAAGCCAAAAAGGCAATATGCAATGTAGATTACTTCAATAAACATATGTCATAATGATTATAAGTTGAGGCTAAGACATATTTTCTTCATGAAGTATAAAAAATTAAAAGTTCCCCAGATATTCTTTCCAACATCACTTCTAATGAACTTATTACATTCATCCTTCTTTCAGATTAGTTTAGACATAGGAGTAATATGTGCCCCAATTACTAGACATAGAAAGATGGTGATAGACACACATTGTAGTGAGAAATGTATATTGAGCTCAGAATAGGGACAGTGGAGAGAATTACACTGGTGGAGTAAGAACAATACTAAAAAGCATATGCATGAAGAGAAGAAAAAATAAGAATTAGCCAAAAAATTAGCCAATCTAATCCTATAAAGCAGGGGTTCTCAACCTGTGGGTCGCGACCCCTTTGGTGGTCGAACGGCCATTTCACAGGGGTCGCCTAAGACCATCCTGCATATCAGATATTTACATTATGATTCATAACAGTAGCAACATTACAGTTATGAAGTAGCAACGAAAATAATTTTATGGTTGGGTCACAACATGAGGAACTGTATTTAAAGCGCCAGAAGGTTGAGAACCACTACTATAAAGAATGAATGGCATATAATCTAATCTAATAAAAGAGAAACATGCATATTGACTGTACCTTCGCTATGCCCCAAGCCACACCCTCCAGCCAATCAGCGCGATTATATGCAAATTAACCCAACCAGGATGGCAGCTGGCAGCCATGGAGCTGGAGCAAGCAGGAGGCTTGGTTGCCCCGGCGATGGAGGAAGCCCAGCTTACCGCCTGCCCTGGCCGGCTGTAGCCTCCACTCAAGGCAACAAAGTTTCAATTATAGAAGCTAAATAAATCCCAGATACCTGCTTCCAGCCAGCCTCCACTGGGAGCTTGGGTGGCTGAGGGCCGTGGCCAGCCATCAGGCCCTCACCCAGGATGGCCACACCCTCTTGGGGTGAGGGTCCCTGCTGGGGGGTTTGGCCAGCCTGCAAACAGCCATCAGCCCCTCACCCAGACTGGCCAGGAACCCCAGCAGGACCCTCCACCCTGATCTGGGACACCCTTCAGGGCAAACCAGCCAGACCCCACCCATGCACCAGGCCTCTATTCTATATAATAAAAGGGTAATATGCAAATTGACCCTAACAGCAGGATGCCTGGGAATGACTGGTCACTATGACACACACTGACCACCAGGGGGCAGACACACAATGCAGGAGCTGCCCTCAGTGTGCTCCCCCAGGGGGAGCGCTGCTCAGCTACAAGCCAGGCTTATGGCAGCCAGTACAGCAGTGGTGGTGGGAGCCTCTCCCGCCTCCTCAGCAGCGCTAAGGATGTCCGACTGCAGCTTAGGTCTGCTCCCCGCTGGCAAGTGGACATCCCCTGAGGGCTCCCGGGCTGCCAGAGAGATGTCTGATTGCCAGGTTAGGTCCAATCCCCTGGGGAGCGTGCCTAAGCCAGCAGGTGGACATCCGCCAAATGGTCCCAGACTGCGAGAGGTCACAGGCCTGGCTGAGTGACCCCCTGAGTGCACAAATTTTTGTGCACCAGGCCTCTAGTTTATCAGATAAAAACCAATTTCTGCTTAAGATGTTAAAGCAAAGGAAAATTAAAACACCTTACTTCTCATTCAGTTAAAGCAGAGGGAAAGTTAGAATAATAATATAACTACTAATCAGAAGACCTTGTTTCTGCCAATAATTTTCTGTCAGTGGTTAAATCAAGTATCTTCTCCTTGCCTTCATTTCTCATCTATATTTTATTAATGTGAATATGTTGAGTGTATGATTGCATCTATTTATCCGCTCATTGAATACAAGTTTTGTCTGAGTCCAGTTTTGTCCTGTCCAGGCAATACGTAAAGGAGAGAGAAGAGTGGAAGACAAGAACCCACTCTATGTGTGAATGTGATGTGATGTAGATGTGAATATGGTGTGAATACAGGCAAGAGCTTTGATTTTAATTCTTTGTGGCTGACTCAAATTAGAAGCTCTAGGACAGTTCAAAATGTAGATTTCTCATCTCTTGTAGTCTCATGCCAACATAGCTTCCTGCAAATACGACTCTTCTGTGTGACTCATTTTACCCTGCCATGTGTGTACTAAAACTGGTGCTCTTTACTTCTGCCACCAGCCCATGTAACCATTTCCTTTTTTCTAAATAAGATGGTGTTGATTTTTTCTTTCTGTGTAATACCAAGTATTTTGTCACATTGAACTCGGCCAACTTTTTTTTTAGATCCTCAACTCCAGATATCCTCTCTTAATTTATTTTCCTCCTGCTCTTTTAAAATTCACTGCATATAGGTAGCCTTAAGTCATCACTTGGTTTTTTTTTCTAAAACTGGTCTGTTGTTTTTCTTTCTTGATCTCCTAAAATCCTTTGTTTTGAAAAATAGGAAGAAGGATACCTTCTCTATAGGTATGTTCTTATTTTTAAACTGAGAGTTGAAAGACAAGTTTCAAAGTTGTAAGACTCTTTTCTGGATGTCCACAGTATGATGGACTTCATTCCTCTAGCTCTGCTATTGGGTTTCTTAGATCCTTTTAAGCTCCAAATAAATGTTGTCAGCTGGCCAAACCAGAGCTCTAGGATAACATTTGCAATAGCCATGCAGACAACTTTTTGTTTTGTTTTGTTTTGTTTTGTTTTGTTTTGTTTTCAGAACTGGCTTAGTAAAAGTCTGAGTTTTTGAAAAACATAAATTTGAGTCTACCCTTTCCTGTATTTAGGATTTTTATTAGTCTTTATTTTTAAACTAGACTTGGAAGTATTGGTATACTGTATCCTGCTGGGCTTATAAAGTTCATTGTTAGTTTTTCATGATGTTTTTCATGCCAGTTGATGCCATGGTGACAGTTTTAAAATTGA